AAAGGGGCTGGTGGGGCGGCCGCCCCGCTGGGAGACGGCGTCAACCCACCACGGTTCCTCCTTTGCTTCCGGGCTCCTGCGAGAACGTCACCCACAAAACCCAGAGGGTTTGCAGGGGGGTGTTGCAACGCCACCCCATGGGCTGTGGGGACAGGGGACAGCCCTGAGCCTCCCTGGGGACACCAAGCAAAAAAAAGCATTTAGGGTCACCGGACCATGCTGATGGTGGATGAAACACAGACCCCGGGGGTCACATCTCCTCCTTACGGCTGCTGAAAAACAACCACGGGCGTCCCCTTCCCACTTCACCACCTGCAAACCCGGGTCCTTGTCCTCACTGGGGTCTGTCCTTGGGATGTGCCATCGAGCAGCCCCGGCTTGAGCGGGGACCCCCAGAACCGGCATTTGGGGTGTCACCATGGTCCCCATTTGCAGGCAGGAAGGACACAAGAGGGACAATTTCTTGATGCTAAAGCACGTGTTGCAGCCCCAGCATTGGCCTCTGACCACGGCAGATGTTTCAAACGAAGGATTTTTAATTACAGCCCAGATTCCTCCTGAAAGCCGTCATTTCGTGGCCTTTGTTCAGCACCGGCCAAGGGATGCGTGAGGCAGCGAGGCCAGCGCAGCCCCCACGTCGGGGACAAACAAAAAAAATGCCGGCGTCTTCCCACACGCCGTCCCGGCTGCGAGCGAGGGGCGCCGAGGATGACCCCGGCCATGAACAAAGGGCGAGGGCAGCACCCGCTGAGCCCTGACCCAGTTTAATCCCAGCCCCGAGCCGTCCCCATCCGTCGGGGAGGAGATCCGATTTCAGGGCAGGGAGACGGTGGCATGAGCACGCCAGCAGCCAGGCAACGATGCTGTGTCCAGATCGCTGGCACCAATCCGGTGACACCGCGGTGCCCAGGACCCGCTGGCTTTTCCCTGTCACCGATAGAAACCAGCGGAGATGGGAAAGCAAAAACTCCCCCAGCAGGGAGTAAAGTGCTGCCTCAGCGCTTGCAAATTATCTCCGATATGCAAAAGCAGGTCATTAGCATAAATTACAGCGCAGTGATGGAGCGCGGCTTCGGCGGGAGCCTGACGTGCTGATGGATGCGGCAGCCCCCAGGCTCTGCGCTGTCGCCTTCAGATGTTTCAGCTCATCAGGAGAGCGGGGATCCGGCATTTTGGGCTGAGACGCGGCTCCTGCTTTCGCCCCCGCAGCCCGGCAAGGATTGCTGCTGCATCCCCAGCACCTGCGCCAAAGGATTTCCATCATGCCTGAACTTTTTTCCCCTCTGAATTCAGCCAGCCACAGACCCTGCTGCCATTTTTCCACCAATGCTGACTGCTCCATGCAGAGGGGAATGCCATTATGGTGCGAGAAGTATTCGACTCACACCCGCACACGATGAAAAGCAGAAGATGGGGCTCAGGATGCCATAAACCAGCCCGACGCCGTCGGCAGCACCAGCACACTGTGCCTGAGCCCCCACCCATGCCAGCCCAACCTCCTAAATTCCCTCGTCGTGGCAGCCAGACACCCCCTCCCGCCCCGCGCCAGCCTCCCAGCACAGCTCCCAGTTAACGATCCCAATTAATGCTCGATTCACATGGAGCAGCCACAAATCTATTTTGATCAGGGGACTCAGGCAGGAGGGGAGCGTCACGGAGCCGCCACCGCTCTCCACACTGCCATCAAAGTGCCACGTTTCATTTGAATCCCAGAGAAAAGCCCTTGATCTCGCCTTTGGGAAGATCTTTGAAGCCAGAGTCCCTCTTCTAGGTCTGTAGGAGCACGGGATAACTCAGGTGGGAAGGGACGTGGTGACATCTCTGGTCTCAGCTCACTGTGGGGCACCCGGGGCTGTGCCAAGCCCAGCCATGGAGGGCAGGGACCATCCGACCCGAAGACAACTCCCATGGCCACGTCTACCCTACCCAAGACACATGAAGCTTTGTAAAGTTCATCTCCACCTGAGACCCCATTCGCTTCAGAGGTTCCAGAGACACAAACAAGGCGATTCCCACTCCCTTCGCGGCACCTGAGGTACATTTCAGGCTATAAATAGCCAATTAAGCTAATTAAACACCACCACAATTGCCTTCCGCAGTTCAGCTTGTATTCGCACCTAAAAAATAAATTCCCGAGGTGTATCAGAAGCTGTCAAGACCTAAATAACACCCCACAAGGTATATCGGAAGCTGTCAAGACCTAAATAACACCCCACAAGATCGCACACTGGCACTAAACACACATCACACGCATCCTCTCCCCCCACGACCCCGCTTGTCCAATTTCCATCTTCTCCAAAGACAGGTTTCCGTCACCAAGTCTTTCCTTCCTTCCTTCCCTCGCAGGAGAGTCTCCAAGGCGCATCTGGGATTTGCATCCTTGCAAAAAACCCATGTCTGACCGTTTCCATCCCAAGAAGTTTTGCTGGTTGGGGTCCCAGTGGGTGCTAGAGGTTGCTCGGGGAGAAGAGGTCCATAGGGAAGGGAAGGTCTTCCTGGGGCAACTAGGAGAGGCGGTGGCTGGTAGGATCCGGGGGTGAGGTCTGCAATGGGCAGTGTCTAGAACCCTCCATAGCCTGCAAGGAAGCAGGGGAGGTTTAGCACACCCCAACCCCAAAAAGCTGATGAGCTTTGGAGATACCCAGGGCTCCTCTCCCCACCAGTCTGGAACCCGTTACCTCTACGTAGGCAGTGGAAACTAAAGCTGGGTCCAACTTCTTCTTGAGAGAAGACGACTGTGGAGCAGAGCAAGAACATGATGTCAGGAAATGTGCAAGCGGGATGGTGAACCCAGCACCCCGTTGATGAACTGAGGAGACCCACTGCAGAAGGGCCAGAGTCATGGTGGAGCAACCTCACCTTCCTGGTGGGCTGAATGGTGGAGTAGATGGTGCAGCTTCCAGGGTCCGGAGGGCGGCTGGATCCCTGCTGGGGAGAAACAGTCAAGGAGCACAAAGAAAATTTTGGGTGAAAGGGGTAGACCTGGCAGTTACCACAAACGCATCCAGCCTGGGGGCTGTACGGCCAAGCCCACGGGGCAGCTCCAGTCCCTCCTACCAGCACTGGACCAACCCTACCTGTGTTTTGGTGCAGATGACGGCGTAGATGGTGTTTCCTCCCGCAGTGGCCTCACTGGTCCCATTCTGGGGGAGAAAGCAACCCCAGGCTGGTTAGAGGAACCCAGGGTGGAAAATATTTCCAAATAGAGGTCTCGTCCCTCCAGGCAGCATGGGGAGGGGACAGCCAGGGACACCCCCAGCACTCACCGGGTCTTGTCTAGTTCGGGCTCTGCCAACCTCCTCGTAGACAGTTGGTGTCTGCTCAACGTGTCCTAGGGGAGTTTGAAGGGCCAGCGTGAGATGGCTGACGTGTTAGAGCCCCCAGATTCAGGCTCATCAGCCTGGACCACCCCACATCAACAGGGACAGGCAAAGGTGGCGGCACCCGGTGTCTTATCCCGCATCAGACCCAGGAGCAGGGAGAAGCCCAGGGCCAGCACGGAGAGCG